GCTCGGTAATAGCCTTGGTAGACGCGTGCAGTTTTCTTCTGTTGCTGCTGTTTATCCGAAATTCTGGGCGACTGCCGTACAACTAGTGCACTCTTAACTGACCGAACGGCCTTTCGAACCGGGAGGCAAATATTTACTTTTTTTTTTCATTTGTCCAGCTCTTCTCGACCCGGCAGTACAGGCTAACTATCACCATCCTCCACGCGTGCGTATGAGCCCTTGCATACATCGCACGGGCAGGGCAGAAACGTCCTCTTTCTTTGCTTAGGGTTCCAGACTTTGTCCGACTCTGGACGCCGCAAGCTCTGGTCCACTAAACATTTTTTCGCCGGTTCAACGTCGGGCTGGGGCGCTGAACCTTTCGCCTTATGTCCACGGCGATTCCCAGGGTGTTCAGCAGGGTATGCACCCTTGTGGTTTCCGCATTCGGTGCAGGCCCTGAACTGCGGCAACGCCGCCCCCGCCGCCCCCGCCGCCCCCGCCTCAGGCCCAGCCAAGATCGGCGACCCCTCTACCGGGTCACCCCCTGCCTCGGAGCCCCCCTACAACCACGCCATGCCCGCTGCCTGCTCCCGGAAAGACCTTGTAGCTTGGCAGAACTTTGCCAGTGACGAAGGGCGGCCTCCGCGGTGGCGTCGGACACCACGTGACCTACCGCCACGCAGGCGGAATGGCTGGCGTTGTAGAGGCGCACCTGTAGTACGCGCAGAGGGCAAAAGAACGAGGGCAAGCGTTGTTGCTTGGGTTTCAGCACAAATTTGGAACCTGCCATGTGCTGTTGTTGTCGGTCCACACCAAAGTACGGCCGATACCACAATGCGTAGGCGCTCACCTTCACGCCGATAGCCGGGTCGCACGGTGAAGAAGGCACGGACGTGATCGGGTCCTTGTTCTTGTAGATGGCCTCGTACAAGAGTGCCGAGGCAACGGCGTCCCTGATGGCGTAGTCTCGCTGTTCAACGGAGAGTTGAGCGCTCCCCCAACGGGAGTATCGGACGGTATCCTTCGGCAGCTGCCTCCCCAGGAGGCACGCCGTCAAGCCGGCGAGTGTTCGAGACGATGTCACCACCAACTTGGAAACGGCGAGGACACGCAGGTCCACCGTGCTCGCCATTTTCACGCCATAGTCGTTGAGCATATGCGTGGCATCCCTGTTGATGACAACACCAGCCTGCACAGAGGAAACATGGAGTCGCCGAGTCGGCGTTCAAATAGTATCATGAGGAAGACGCTCACAAGACGGATGCTAAAATACGCCGTACCAACCTTTCAAGAGCAGTACTTGCATGAAATACAACATCTATCGCATTCAACCCTCACGCGCATGTGCTGTTGCTGTTGTCTCACCTTGATGATGCTGGGGTCCTCGAGAAGAGCCTTCAGGGGAGCGGGAAACGTTTCCTTCGTAAAACCAGAGCTCCCTCTCTGAGAGGAACGACGGCCCCCTCAAAGCCGCAATCTGGAAGGTCGCTACAGGCTCCCGCCCACGAGGTGAAAACTGCCACTCTGCGTCCGCTCCGCACATCATCTTTCCCTCCACTCGATTTTGGCTGATGCTCTGACGGAGGGAGCCGAAGGCAGCGGCTACCGCCTCCGAGTCGTACACGATGGCAGGGGTGAACTCCAGATCCAGCTGTGGCAGGAGCTNTACGCCGTACCAACCCTTCAAGAGCAGTACTTGCATGGAATACAACATCTATCGCATTCAACTCTCACGCGCATGTGCTGTTGCTGTTGTCTCACCTTGATGATGCTGGGGTCCTCGAGAAGAGCCTTCAGGGGAGCGGGAAATGTTTCCTTCGTAAAACCAGAGTTCCCTCTCTGCAGGTGGAAGAGGAACGACGGCACCCTCAAAGCCGCAATCTGGAAGGTCGCTAAAGGTTCCCGCCCACGAGGTGAAAACTGCCACTCTGCGTCCGCTCCGCACATCATCTTTCCCTCCACTCGATATTTGGCTGATGCTCTGACGGGAGCCGCAGGCAGCGGCTACCGCCTCCGGGTCGTACATGATGGCAGGGGTGAACTCCATATCCAGCTGTGGCAGGAGCTCCAACTGAACTCCGGCGTCCACCTCGTCTTCCAGATAAAGACTGATCCCCGTTGCCTCGTCAAACTCGCGAAATATGCGTTGCAGCAGTTGACTGTCATCACAGCAGTCATCTGACAAAGTGAAGCGTCACGCAACGGGGCCGGAAAGGATTGAGGGGACAATACTGCAAAGTCACTGCGAAAATAGCAGGCCTGACACCGGTCTACAACCTCGAAAAGCGAAGCAAGTCTACAATCATTTCGCAAATTACCCGTGTTCCACAGAGTAGGAACCTTGAAGCCATTGCGAACGAATCGCATGAAAAACTGCTTCAACTCCCCCGCCAGCTCGCTCAAGGCACCGGTCTTCATGGGACGCTGCCAGACCACCTTCAAATAAGAACACACATGTGTAACAACGAAATGTTTTTCGGGTCATCAGAATGAGCGTACCATACTACGAGAATAATTTGCCAGTGATTGCTCCAGAAAACATGGCACCAACACGAAGGGTTTGGGGATGGTTGAACGAAACAGAGGCAGGAGAAATTTTCACCTGCTCACATTCGTTGAAGACTGTGAAGAAGCCGTACACTGGTCTTGTGCGCTCCTCGCCCGCCTTTGCCCCGAGCCGGATGATCTTCGCAAACTTAAACGAAGCATCCCCACCCAGAATGTCTCCGTCCCAGCGCTGCATCAAGCGGTGCTGATACTCCTCCAGGGTCCAATCCACGCTATCNACCGGATGATCCTCGCAAACTTGAACGAAGCATCCCCACCCAGAATGTCTCCGTCCCAGCGCNACAGAGACAGGAGAATTTTTCACCTGCTCATATTCGTTGAAGACTGTGAAGAAGCCGTACACTGGTCTTGTGCGCTCCTCGCCCGCTTTTGCCCCGA